ATTATTATTATTTGATGAATTTTTATTTTTATCTGAATTCATTTTGTTATCTGTATCTGCTATATCTGAATTTGAATTTATGTTTTTGTTTTTGATATCTGATTTATCGATAGGGTATGGAATAAACCGTTTTTTGTTTTGATCGGAGTTTCCACTTATCCTAACTTTATTTGAGCCCTTTGAAAATGACCGTTGATTTATAGGGTAGCTACTCCTATTTTCATCGCGTATTTCCGAAGGTATTTCGACTGAGGCGCGTGGCTCAAACGCCTGAATATTTGTTTCAGGATAAGAATTTTTATTTGAATTTTTATGAACGAACGCATTAGCTATCTGAATCTTTTCGTCAGATTTTTGCCTTACGACTGGGTCGTTTGATCTCGCCGCCTGAGTGCTTTCATCAGGTGAAACCGCGATTTTATTAGCCTCCTGGTTCTTTTTGCCAGTTAATGAGGTCCTTTCGACTGAGTCGCATAACCCCGCCGCCTGAGTGCTTTCATCAGGTGAAATTTTTGAATTCGTATTGCTAATCCCGTCGACTGAATTAGTAACGATTTTTGAAAATTTATTTTTAGTTTTTGAATTTATTTTTGAATTTTTGTCCGAATTATTTGTTTCTGAGTGGATAGCCACTTTCGGTTTTTTTGTAATTTTGATCTCAGAACCTGATGTATCGGTTGTTCTGAGTCTCGCGATTCCCGGTTTGCCCGTGGGTCGCCATTTAAATTTTATTGGATAGGCTTCGCGTTTTTCTGTTACCGGATTACGTGACAAGGCGTCGGCATTTGTATTTTTCCTACCTGCTTTGTATATTACAGTATATTCGAATTCTTTAAGACGTTCTCGCCATCTCATTACAAGTAAAGCTGTTATTCAATTCGTAATTAGTGTTTCTAATAATTAATTAGTGAAATTTTACTTATTACTCAAGTGGCTCAAATCGTAAGTAAATAATTTTTTTTTAACTATAATTACGTGATGATAATTTTAATTATAGTCTACCGAATAATTTTTTAATAATGATTTAAATGTTTTAATATTTTTTCATTTTATAAGGTTATTATGATTTAAATATAATCCTGTGAACTTGAAAAAAAAGTTTACAATGAATTGTAATCTCTTCATTGGTTAGTTATACCGTAATACTATAGTAAATTCTTCCACCTTCGACTTGAAATTTTTATAAAGGAAGTGTAAACAGGTAAGTAAATACAATTTGATACTCTAACAAAATAACAATCATACTACTATTATTATAAAAATACTCTGTCAATAAATTGATGCTCATTGCTGTCAATCTCTGACTAGGCAATAACTAACCTAATTATTAAAAACAATAATAGATTAATTTTTCTTTTGATATTAAGGTTGTTTTTTTCGATTCTGCAGCTATAAAATTATCAAATATTATTTCAAGAACTAAGAGTTTATAATTAGCAATAAATCAATAAAATGCAGTAAACAATTTGTTTACCTTAAATTTAAAAATTAAAATTTCCACGAATTCAATTATTAGCTTTGTATCCGGTTCACTTCGGAGTAAGTGAAGTCAAGATAGACCATTGCGCAGTCGCACAGAGCAAATGTAGAAAAGCTACGACGATGTATTGTATACAGAGCGTTAAAATTTCTCGAAGTTTTTATGTGCTTAGAAAATAATAAACATAAAAGACCCCAAGTTTAAATAATAGCACTGGTTAACAGATTTAAGGCATTCTGCTACTAAAAAATATTGCAGACGAGTGAGAAATAATATTATATCTTTACCTGAAGTATTATTTAAGTTAAAATTTTATCAGAGGTTAGTTTTTATTCATAACAGTTAGCATTTATTTTTTAAAGTTCATATTGTTGTAAATTTTTTTAATAATTTACAGCGTATGACCATTTATTAATTTAAGATTGATAAAATGTGATTTAATTTTCATATTATTTTAAGTTTAAAAATTATATTTATCACGAATTCAATTATTAGTTTTCTATCCGGTTCACTTCTGAATAAGTGAAGACGAGACAACAGAACAGTTGCGCAGTCACGTGAATCGTGTAAGTGACGCTATAGTCTTTCGTACTTTATTCGTACTTAGAGAACAACGAGAAAACCGGCGCATGCACGCCGTGGAGCAATCCGGACTTAGAAAAAACCCGGAACGGTCCGAAACTAATCGCGGGAATAAAAATATTTATCGGTTGTAAATCCAAAAATAAATTGTCGTAAAAATCGAATTGATTAATCGGGTGCTGGAAGTTCATAAAAAATAACGACCACTTATCTCTGAACTGTTTATTTAACTTGCTTTATAAAATTTATTTATCGCTAAATTTACTTTCTCTCTCTTTTTCTCTTTTCCTATTATCGGCTGATTTCCCGAGTGACCCTGAACATCATTTTTGTTATCTTATGTAGTAAGATAACTGGCGCCCGCGTGCACTAACCCAGTCTGGGAGGCTAGGTAGGTCCGTTCGAAGGAATCGTCCTTCGAACTCTTGTTTATTTCGTTCCAGCACGTTGCAGGCGACCTGAGCAGGATTTGGGTGAACTGATTGTCTCCGCGATCAGTAAAATCGAGATCATCCATTAATCTTTGTTACAATATCTCATTAAAACTCGATTAGTAGGCATAATTTATCATTGCCATACTTTATCGTATGAATAGCGTCGTTAAATATCTCTATTGTAATTAAAAAATGACTATATTCGAATGTGGAATTTTATTTCATTGTCCTGCTACTTGCCCTCGTCATTACTTCATCATCCTTTCGGCATACTCAGATACCGCAAGTCAATTTAAAGAGAAATGGTTTTATCAAATAATTTCAGAAAAAAGTATTGGACCGATGCCCTAACTCATTTTGACAGCGAATTATGCTCCTAAAAGAATTACAGACGCGTTAAGAAAAATATATTAATATAAAATCAATCGTTAAATAAGATTTAAAACTTTTAAATATTATAAATTTTGATCGAATAAGCTAACTTAAGAATAAATTTTATGGAATTTATTCACAAAAAAGTTTATTGAACAGTTGAATGTATATAATTACTAAAATTTATTGATTATTTTTATTTTTTATCTGTAATATAACGAGCTACCTTGTTGAAAGCTTGTGATTGATTTTAACCTAATTTTGATTGTTCCGATAGAACTGGTGAATCTAGCCAGCAATTTTAATTATTATAGTGTTCATAAGCGTCGTTGTTGAGGTTTTTGATACTATTCGAATCAATATTAGGTATGTTTCTTCTTAATTGCTTTTTTTCTTTGCTTTAGTATGTATAGCGCGTTGAATAGTGTCAATCAGTTTTTGTTAATTTGCAAATTTCAAGAATGAACGTCCTCTATATAAGGCTGGATGTTCTTTCTGACTACAATAATCATATTTTATCTTAATCTCATATTATTTTCGTCTACACCTGCATCAATTAAACAGTGATATTCATTACTTTTTAAAAGGAATTTGTAAAGAATCCCGTCTCATCGTAAAACTTTTATTAATTGATATCAATGTGATAGATAATATATTAAATAGTATTTTCAATTTAACGAAAAATTATTTTGTGCTATACAATGGAGACAATTTAATAAAAATTTAGTGGATACGTGGTTTAATTTGACAGATATCAAACTTACTTATCACACTAATGATTATAAAATGTTGGGGAATTTTGTTTTTGTGCTGCTTCCATTGTCTAATGACTGATATCATATAGGGGAGGGTGGGGTAAGATGGCCCCCTGGGGCATAACGGCCCCCTTCAAAATTTGGTCGAAAAATAATTTTTTTTTTTTTTTTTACCAAATTATCATAAATTTGATATATTTATATATTTTGGAGCTAATATAGGAGAACCTGGGGCACAACGGCCCCCCTCAAAAATTAGGTAAAAATTTTTTTTTTCACTTTCCGTCAAGTTATGACCTCTATAATGTTTTTATGATATTTTGGGCCAATATGTGATATGTGGGGCATAATGGGCCACTTGAGAAACAAATAACAACGAAAAAAAAATTTATTTTTTCGAATTGAGATAAATTTGGGGTAAAATGAATTAGAAACAATTTAATTGACCCGAAAAATTTAACAAATAATTGAACTATACTAAAATTTTTTTTTAAATGTTTGTTTTTCGTTATACCACTCTGAAAAAAAAATAGAAAGATAAAGTTTACCACTCTGAAAATTTTAGGGAATTTGCAAAAAATACTGAAGTTTTTTTATAAAAAAGAAAAATCGAAAATCAAAAATGTCAATCATCCCGAAATTTTCGTTTTTTTCCAAAAAGTTAAAAAAAAACATTGAATATGAATCCGAATTATTATTTTTATTTTTTTTTTTAAAGTACATTTTAAGACAAAAATTTCAAAAAAAAAAACATCCCAAAAAGTCAATTTTCAAAAAAGTTATGGTTACTTAACCAAAACAAAAGCTGTTTTTCTGTAATAACTCGTAACTTTTTTTTGGTTGGGTAAAAAAATTTGAAAAAATTCTGAAAATTGTTTTCAATAGGGTAGAGAAAGATACCAAAATTTCAGAAAAATCGAAAAGGATCGGTGTCAAAAGTGGTCGATTTGGCATGGAATGCCCCATGTATATTTTAAATTTTACTATCTTTAATTATTATCAAATTGTAGCATTTTAATTTCTCTAACGACCAAATTCATTCCCCTATTTTTTTTCTTAATTATAAAATTAATTATTAATTTAATTCAATTTTAAGAATTTTAGTGCTACATTCTAACACCAGACGGCGCTTCGGTATAAAAATTTTCGAATGGCAATTTAGGAAGAATGCCCTTAAGCTAAAGTTAATTTTTTTATCTTGATTATCATTTACGCGTTAATATAGTTAGCTGAAGTGATGTTGTTATCAAAACGTATACATTCATAACATAATATAGGATATATATTAAACATCTTTCGCAAAGTACGGCAGTATTCAGTGCTTATAAAATCGTGTAAACACTTATTACTGCTAAACCTAACTTAATTTTGAGCGCGATGTTTGCAAAGCGATTCATCAGCATCATCATTGTATTCTGCCTGCTCTATGATCACGTGAGCTTGGTTTTTGCATCCAAGTGGGATAACAATATTACAAAACGAAGACTGAGTAATAGTATAGTGGAAGAAAGCAGTAAGTTCATTCCTGACGAAAAAATATTTGAGTATTACTTAAAATATAAAGAAAAATTAAATTTTCTAGAAGACATACTTAATGAGATCGATGAAACCTCAAGATCGATAATTGTTGTTCCGATTGGGTCCAAATGTCCACCAGGATATCATCCCAAAGGCAAAGGAAAGTGCCATAAGCTTTTGTAATATTTATTGTTATTTATTATTTATTTATGACAATAATGAAGAAACGAATCACTTGTAAGCGATATAATATTTATTATTATACCTGAATACCAATTACAACGATAACGTTATCTAAAATAAAGACTATCTGAAAGTTAAAGAGTTATAAGATTATTTATATAAATGTGAATATATGAGACTGAACGCAAAAAAAAAAAAAATTGTTGTGATAACATAAGATTTGTTGTGGTAACAAATGAATATGTTAGCATAGGGATAACAAATCATATGTTATAGTAACAAAATCTAGGTTATAATAAGTAATTCATATGCTATAACAACAAAATAGTTTTGTTATGATGACAAAATCTTTTAGTTGGTTCAACAAATTCGATGTGTTGGAACAACAAGTAGACTTGTTACAATAAATTTTATGAGAATATTCAGTAATTGCTTACTTTCACGGTCTACTTGGAGTTTGATCTTAAAAAATAGAAAATTAACATTTTGCCTTTTTTTTTTAACTATTTTAATTTATATTGTATGTATGACATTAACCATTAAAATACTCGAAGATATATTTTTTTATTTGCAGAGTGAACCATATTATATCTAGGATTTTTTAATTGTCACAATAAAAAAAAATCTGGAAAACGGTTGACCCTAAAGGCCACCCCTGCAACTTCTCGCTAATTCCATATCTAAGCGCTTAAAATTGCACTTATGGGGTTATATCCACTTGTAATTTTGAAAAAATCGAAATTTTTTTTTTGCATATTTTGAATGTATATATATTCAAGAATATTGTCTGTAAATTTCAAAGTAATCCGGTAAATAGTTTCGGAGTAATAAGCGTATTTGTAAAGACGTCTCCGAGTGTTTGAAGGTAATTTAAATAATAGCCAAAACTTTGAATGCGTTTTTCTCGAAGCGATGTTTTCAAAGTCGGTGAGGAATATTTCTCCGAAACCGCTTGACCGATTGACTTTAAATTTTCACAGGACCTTCATAGATACTTTTGTCAGGTAATGATCGAAGGAATAAAGTTTCTGATGAAAATTTCGATTTTTTTAAGTCACTTTAAAGTGTAAATTTTCGTGCAAAAAAAGATTTTTTTTTTGGGAAGCCGCCATTTTATCTAAAATCAAAATTTTGACTATTTCTTCGATCGTTACCTATATTTATCTATCCTAAAAGTAATCCTTTTGGTTTTTTTTATTTCTGATAATTTGGATCAATAGGAGACGGGCCCATTACGACACCTCTACCGATGAGTTCATCCAATGAAGATGAACCTAATCCGCGTTTCTTAACGGTAGAGGTCGAAATCCATGCGGAATTGGAGGTAACGCAAGAATGCGGGATTCTCGGTGACTCCAAAGGTCTCTCGACAGATTGCGACGACGGCATGGATCCAGAAGACTCCTTCTGGACCATGAGAAACGAACGAGCGCTTACTAAAATTTATTGATTATTTTTATTTTTTATCTGTAATATAACGAGCTACCTTGTTGAAAACTTGTGATTGATTTTAACCTAATTTTGATTGTTCCGATAGAACTGGTGAATCTAGCCAGCAATTTTAATTATTATAGTGTTCATAAGCGTCGTTGTTGAGGTTTCTGATACTATTCGAATCAATATTAGGTATGTTTCTTCTTAATTGCTTTTTTTCTTTGCTTTAGTATGTATAGCGCGTTGAATAGTGTCAATCAGTTTTTGTTAATTTGCAAATTTCAAGAATGAACGTCCTCTATATAAGGCTGGATGTTCTTTCTGACTACAATAATCATATTTTATCTTAATCTCATATTATTTTCGTCTACACCTGCATCAATTAAACAGTGATTTTCATTACTTTTTAAAAGGAATTTGTAAAGAATCCCGTCTCATCGTAAAACTTTTATTAATTGATATCAATGTGATAGATAATATATTAAATAGTATTTTCAATTTAACGAAAAATTATTTTGTGCTATACAATGGAGACAATTTAATAAAAATTTAGTGGTTACGTGGTTTAATTTGACAGATATCAAACTTACTTATCACACTAATGATTATAAAATGTTGGGGAATTTTGTTTTTGTGCTGCTTCCATTGTCTAATGATTGATATCACATAGGGGAGGGTGGGGTAAGATGGCCCCCTGGGGCATAACGGCCCCCTTCAAAATATGGTCGAAAAATAATTTTTTTTTTTTTTTACCAAATTATCATAAATTTGATATATTTATATATTTTGGAGCTAATATAGGAGAACCTGGGGCACAACGGCCTCCCTCAAAAATTAGGTAAAAATTTTTTTTTCACTTTCCGTCAAGTTATGACCTCTATAATGTTTTTATGATATTTTGGGCCAATATGTGATATGTGGGGCATAATGGGCCACTTGAGAAACAAATAACAACGAAAAAAAAATTTATTTTTTCGAATTGAGATAAATTTGGGGTAAAATGAATTAGAAACAATTTAATTGACCCGAAAAATTTAACAAATAATTGAACTATACAGGAGAGTGGTATATGACGGCTCGCTAGGGCATAACAGCCCCTCTCATAAATTCGGAAAAATTTTTTTATTCCATTTTCGAAAATAGTAGATTTTACCCCTAGGGAGGAAAAGTAAGAAATAGCTCAGATCACATGTTATAGTCAACCGAGGCGAAACCGAGGACTTTCTCCAAGGACGTCTTACTCTACGCGATTCATATTTTTAATTTTGAATTGATAAAAATATAGAAAAAAAAGGTCTGGTTTAAGATATTACGTATTTTAAAAGCTCAATCTTTTAAAAACTCAACATGTGATTTCAATCAATGTAAACTAATGTAACCAATTCATTGCTAAATAACATCTCTGTATTTTTTTTCTTGTACGTAGGCTTAAAACCTTTAAGTGCAATAAAAGGAATTAATTATATTATTAATTATTATCTACTTAAAACTAATTAACAGCTTAACAATAAAATTTATAGTAATTTTTCTATTAAACGTTGACAAAAATTAAACTTTTGGAATAAAACATGAAACATATAAATGTTCGATAATTAGGAAATCACATCGAGATAATTGAATGAATATACGATTATTCGCAATGATCACAGACATATTCGTCAGAATAATCTTTGCCAATACCTGCGCAAGAATTATGAGACCATTTATTACAATTTTTACACTGAATCCATGACTCTGTGGATTCTGAGTAAAGTCAATTGCAATATAGACAATGACAATCATCTTTTTTATATTTGGAATGGTTTATTTTATTTTTTTTTTTTCAAATTTTTGGTTTTAATTTTATTGTTTTTTTGTTTAACTGAGGACTTTTTTTTTCCTTCATTTTGATTTTCTTTTTCTTTGAGTTCTCGGGGATACTGAAGACTCGTAAGAATCGTGGTTTTCCTTCGACGGCGTTTTCTGGGAGGAGAATCTCTAGATTTGGTGTTAATGGCTTCAGTAAAAAAAAAAAAAAAACCCTCCCCTATCTCATTAAAACTCGATCAGTAGGCATAATTTATCAGTGTCATGCTATATCGTACGTACAACGTCGATGAATCCCTCTATTTCAATTGAAAAATGACTATATATGGGGCATTCCATGCCAAATCGACCACTTTTGACACCGACCCTTTTCGATTTTTCTGAAATTTTGGTATCTTTCTCTACCCTATTGAAAACAATTTTCAGAATTTTTTCAAATTTTTTTACCCAACCAAAAAAAAGTTAC